AAATAACAAATGCTGCAGAGGATGTGGAGAAAAGGGAACCATCCTACACTGTTGGTGGGAATGTAAGTTGGTGCAGCCACTATGAAAAACAGTATGAAGATTCCTCAGAAAACTAAAAATAGAATTACCATATGATCCAGCAATTCCATTCCTGGGCATATATCCAGACAAAACTCTAATTCAAAAAGATACATGCACCCCTATGTTCATAGCAGCACTATTCACAATAGCTAAGACATGGAAACAACCTAAATGTCCATCAACAGATGAATGGATAAAGAAGATGTGGTACATATTTACCATGCAATACTACTCAGCCATAAAAAAGAATGAAATAATGCCTTTTGCAGCAACATTGATACAACTAGAGATTATCATAGTAAGTGAAGTAAGTCAGAAGGAGAAAGACATATGATATCACTTATATGTGGAATCTAAAATATGACACAAATGAACCTATCGATGAAACAGAAACAGATTCACGGACATAGGGAACAGACTTGTGGTTGCCAAGGGGGAAGGGGTTGGAGGAAGGATGGAGTGGGAGGTTAACAACAAGGTCCTACTGTATAGCACAGAGAGCTGTATTCAATATCTTATGATAAACCATAATGGAAAAGAATATTAAAAAAAGAATATATATATATATGTATAACTGAATCACTTTGCTGTACAGCAGAAATTAACACTATATTGTAAATCAACTATATTTCAATAAAAAAATTAAATTAAAAATTTGGGGTGGTGAGCACACTATAGTGTATACAGAAGTAGAAATATAATCTTGTACATGTGAAACATAATGTTATAATATATACAATGTTATACATATAAATTTATATAATGTTACTACAATAAAATTTTAATTAAAATTAATTAATTAATAATAAATAAAGTTGGTGGTTGAGCTGAAGGACAAAGTGAGATCTCCTAAATTATAATTGAATCAGCTATAAACTAAGACTAACTGCAATTGTAATCCAGCTCTGACCCAGACTGAAGTAAGTGGAATCTAAAAGAATAGACCTGGGGGCTTTCCTGGTGGCGCAGTGGTTGAGAGTCCGCCTGCCGATGCAGGGGACATGGGTTTGTGCCCTGGTCCAGGAAGATCCCACATGGCGCGGAGCGGCTGGGCCCGTGAGCCATGGCCGCTGAGCCTGCGTGTCCGGAGCCTGTGCTCTGCAACGGGAGAGGCCACAACAGTGAGAGGCCCGCGTACAGCAAAAAAAAAAAAAAGAATAGACCTGGTATTGGCTGCCTGGTTGAAGGAAGTTCTTGCACTCTCTGAGAATAGAGAAAATAAGTAAAATCATCATATTTCACTTATGACTGTTCTTTAATGACTGGTATACAATAAAAGTTTATAAGACGTGTAAAGAAGCAGGTGAATTGACCCATAATCAAGAGAAGGAAAATCAATAAAGAAAGACTTACTGGGACTTCCCTGGTGGCACAGTGGTTAAGACTCTGCACTCCCAATGCAGGGGACCCAGGTTCAATCCCTGGTCAGGGAACTAGATACCACATGCATGCCGCAACTAAGAGTTCATATGCCACAACTAAGGAGCCCACATGCCACAACTAAGGAGCCCACCTGCCGCAACTAAAACCTGGCATGACAAAATAAAAATAAATAATTTTTTTAAAGACTTACTAATGACTCTGAAATCTACAGACAAAGACTTTAAAACAAGTGTTACAAATATGTTAAATAATTGAAAGAAAAAGATAAATCGAATGAGTTTAGAGATAGTGGATTTTATGAGGGATCTGTAAACTTAAAATAAATAAAATTCAAATTATTGAGCTAAAAAAAAAATTGTTTTAATAACTGAATACCGCTGGAGGCTGCAGTCCCTCTCTGCCTGGGCCTCTCCACACTGCTGCATGTGCTTTTGCACAGTATGGTCATCGTATTCCAAGAGTAAGTGCCCCAAGAAACAGGCAGTAGAAGCTTCCAGTTTCTATTGTCAACAAGCACAGAACCCAGATTCAAGGATGGAGACACAGACCTCAGTTCTCAGTGGGAGGAATGTCACAGAATTTGGGGGCCATTATTGAACCCACCACAACAAGAGAATGGATAAACAAACCATGGTCTATTGATGTGAAGTATTTCTACTCAGCAGTTAAAAAAGGATGGACTATTAATTCACACAACATGGATGTATTTCAAAAACATTATGTTTAGTGAAAGAATCCAGACTCATAAGGAATAAATACCAAATCATTCCATTTACATAAAGTTCAAAAACAATCAAAACTAACTTACAATGAGAGATATCAGAAGAGTACTTGCCTCTTGGGGAGCAATGGACTGAAACAGGGTACTCAGAAGCTTTGAAGGTGATGAAATATTCTATATCTTTATTCCCACATTGGCTTCATAGGTTTATAGGGGTGTCAAAGCTCACTGAACTGTACACTTAAGACCTTTGCATTTTACTGTATATAAATTAGACTGAAATAGAGCTCTTCAAAACACAAATAAAAAATTATTGAATGGACATATATACACTACCAAATGTAAAATAGATAGCTAGTGGGAAGCAGCCTCATAGTACAGGGAGATCAGCTCGGTGCTTTGTTACCACCTAGAGGGGTGGGATAGGGAGGGTGGGAGGGAGGGAGATGCAAGAGGGAAGAGATATGGGAACATATGTATATGTATAACTGATTCACTTTGTTATAAAGCAGAAACTAACACACCATTGTAAAGCAATTATACTCCAATAATGATGTTTAAAAAAAAAAAAGAAATTTTCATGGCAAAAAAAACACAATTATTGAAACACAAGCACTTATGTGGTTCTGGATTGGATAGTGATTTGTACAAACCAGCTATAAAAAATATAACTGGAACACTTGGAAATAGTTTATCATGTTTCAGATATTAGGTGAGATAAAATTTACTCATCTGTAGAGACCAAGATAGTTAACTGAAAAAAGCATATCATAAAACAATGTGTACAGTATGATCACTATGGTTAAAAATACTACAGAGGTTTATTAGGGAAGTGAAAATGCTCTCTATCATACTGTCATGGTGGATACGTCATTATACAGTTGTCTAAACACATAGAATGTACAACACCCATAACGAACTTTAATGTAAACTATGGACTTTGGTTGATAATGATGTGTCAATATAGGTTCATCAGTTGTAACATATGTACACACTCTGGTGGGGGATCTTGATAGTGAGGTAGGCTATGCCTGTGTTGGGAGAGGGGGTGTATGGGAAGTCTCTATATCTTAATTTTCTGTGACCCTAAAACTGCTCAAAAATGTCTTAAAAATATAGATAGACACATAATATTACTCCCATATATTCTTAGGGAAAATGTAGGTGGAGTGTTACTAGAGTGTTACTGTGGTAATCTCTGTGCCGTGGGAATGTATGTTTTTATTTTATATTTTTGTTTGCATGGCATTTCTTATAGAAGTACTGCTTCTATAATAATAAAGGTTTACATAATAAACTTGCATTTTGTTTGTGAAAACAGTGTTGAAAATTCTTTTCTAAAACTCTGTTCCCAAAATACGCCATTTTTACCTAGTATAATTTCAATTAGACTATAGTATGTGCAGTATTTAGTACAAGATTGAGTAAAGCATAACAGGTAACCTTTATGAAACCCTTAATATATGCCAATCACCGTGTTTTGCTCTTGCATTTAAACCTTGCAACAGCTGTGTGAGAAAGGTGCTATTACTTTTCCCATTTGCAAATGAGGAGCCTGAGGCCCAACACAGTCACCAAACTAAGAGAAGTCAGAGTCCCCCCTTGTCATCATCACTCCTATGCAATCAGTCACAGTGTCCATGCTACATGTGCATAATCTCCTTCATTCTCAAAGCACTATTTTGAGATTGCAGTGGCTCATCTGGTGAAACCAAGGATCCTAAGAAGTGGAATAACTTGCCCGAGGTCACAAGCCAGCCACTGGCATAGCCAGTGATATGAAAGCAGGTGTGTCTGCTATTGACCAGCAACTGCTACACTGAATCCCTGGCTTTATCAGCAGGACACAGTGTTTTCATGTGAAGCCCTAGCAGAGACTATAACGCCATGCTTCCACTGCACAACTCGTAAAATGCCCAGAGAAGAGAAGAGATTTTTTCTTTTTTTTTTTTTTGCGGTACGCGGGCCGCTCACTGTTGTGGCCTCTTCCGTTGTGGAGCACAGGCCCCGGACGCGCAGGCTCAGCGGCCATGGCTCACGGGCCTAGCCGCTCCGCGGCATGTGGGATCTTCCCAGGCCGGGGCACGAACCCATGTCCCCTGCATCGGCAGGCGGACTCTAAACCACTGCGCCACCAGAGAAGCCCAGAAAAGAGATATTTATAAATGGTTGTTGGAAGCAAATGCGTCCATCCATTTCTTTATAATCTAGAGCTAAAGCCCGATCATCAGAACATTGCATGTTCAGAACATATTATCCTGGCCTGCTGCAAAATTGCTTTCCCTGATTTCAACGTTCTGTCCTCAGCACCTACTGAGGGATGAGTCAAGAAAACATTCCACAAATCCCACAAACGTGTTTGCGACAAAGAAGTCATAAGTGAACATTTTTACCTTGTCTCTCTTACTCTCCTGTTGATAAGGCGAAGCTCCCAATGAGAACTATCCTTTAAAATTAGGTACTGGGTGAAACTTTACATTGCTTGAGAATTTTCCTTAGCATTTATTTTATTGTTTTATTTTAAAAACACTCAAATAGTGCTTACCTTGTGCCAGCCACTGTTCTAAATGCTTTACTAACACTGGCACGTTTGATTTAATCCTCATAACATGCCTATATAACCAAGTTACTTCTATCGTTCTTATTAAGCTTATGAAGAAACGGAGGCACAGGGTGATTACTTAATTTGCCTAAGGTCATACGGTTAAAAAGCATTTTTTTTCCTTACTTACAATTTGAAAACAAATGTGTTTTCTTTCTCACTGGGCTTGCTAAGAGGTTTGGAAGAGAATTTTTAACCGAACCCTAGAATTTTTGGAGGATTCTTTACCTGTAAACATGCATTTTGTTTTCCTTTGAAGTTCTAATACTGCATTGTAGGTTGCATTTTCTTTGTTCCTGGATGGATAGATACAGGAATAAAAATAAGAATGGAGCCAAAGACTGAGATCTATATAAAACTACAATTATGTGTGCAATTCCTATATGCTAAGACAAGTACTTTGTAACATTAAGTCAAGGGGAAAGAATCATTTCTGTATTTGGTTAAAGGTTTAATATAAGTTCAAGTTAAATTCTGAAAGAAAGATATAAAGGTAATTCAAATAAGAGACTAAATATGTTTAGGCAAAAGGGAGGAGAATGGTAATTTTTAATATAATTTTTAACAAATAATGGTAATTTTTTAATGCACAAATTCAATGAGTTCAGAAGAAAAGGTAAAAGTATATACAGGAGTCTGTCATACTGCCCAGAGCTTATCGTTTTTTAAAGCAATTTTTCTTGTACAAGGTCCAGAAAAGCAATAAATTTAACAAGGCACAGGAAAGCAATCAGGAGCCCAGGTATAAAGACCACATACTAGAACACAGTGACACTATGAAATACCTGTTCTTGTCTTTTGTTGCAAATAAGATCCTTCAGCAACAACAGATTTTCATTTGTAATCATTCACAGCCAATTCCAATTTAGTGCAGATGTGAGTTTAGCTCTGCAGCTGAACCAAAGCTCCTTCACATGGGGAAGTATTTTTCAATTTTTTTTCTATGATACTCCTTTGCGAGAAAAGGGATGAGAAGAACTGTTCCCGTGGGCAGTGGAAGGCATCTGTGAAAAGAAACACCCATTTATTTGGATGCTATTTCTTTATCAAGTTACTTATTCACTGATCATCCCCTCTAGGAAACGTGCTAAAGATATTGCCAATATTATTACATCAGCATAGGAGTTGAGAAACCAGGTGAACATTTCTCTGACCAAAAGTATTACATTTTCCAGGCAACAATCTCACCTGTGTATGGGAAGTGGTGAGAGTCTGCTTCCAGGGATACCTGTGTGTTTTAGCCTCCTCAGGCTGCATTAACAAATACCACAGGCTTGGTGGCTTCAACAAAGCAGTTTTTCTCACAATTCTGGAGGCTAGAAGTCTGAGATCAAGGTGTCAGCAGGGTTGATTTCTTCTGAGGCCCCTCTCCTTGGCTTGTAGATGGCCACCTTCTCCCTGTGTCCTCACATGGTCTTCCCTCTATATGTGCCTGTGTCCTAATTTCTGCTTCTTATATTGGGTTAGGACCCACCCTAATGACCTCATTTTAACTTAATTGCCTCTTTTAAAACCCCATCTCCAAATACAGTCACATTCTTAGGTACGGTTAAGACTTAAACATGTGAATTTTAGGAGATCTAATTCAGCTCATAAGACAATGTGGACACGCGTGCTTCCCCATCTCTCTACCATGTTTTAAACAGACTAGGTATTTTGCGGCCGAGACATCAATCACAGCAGCCTCATTTCTCAGAAGCCACATGAGTTACTTAAAAAGCTGATGATTTTCTGCCAAAAGCCAGAAGACTTAAGATTTTGACTATAAAATAAAGAGCTCAGTTTTTTAAACTCATATGTGACATAAATATGAATTGAGAAAATATCCCAAATTAGAAAATCAGAATAATAGTAATAAAAGTGACATTTTAATTTCTGAGGCCCCGGCGAGGCATTAAGAGAGCACTCAAAGGAGAACAGACCAGGAGTTGAGAGGTGAAAAAAGGGAGGGACTACTCCTTCAGAAAACTTAAATTGTGCTCTCTCTCTGTTTTAACACAAAACTTCCCATTACAACACCCTCGTCAAATCAAATCAAATCAAATCAAAATAAAATTGAAAAGGGAAGATTACACCTGAATAAATGCAGCCTTCCTAAAAGCCAAAGAAGATGCTGGCGATGGTGTCGATGTTGTCTATAAATAAAACAAAAGGACCGTGAGCCACAACTACTGAAGCCCGCGTGCCTAGAGCCTGTGCTCTACTACAAGAGAAGCCACCACAACGAGAAGCCCACGCGCAACGAAGAGTAGGCCCCGCTCACCGCAACTAGAGAAAGCCCATGCACAGCAACAAAGACCCAACACAGCCAAAAATAAATTAATTTAAAAAAAATTTTTTTAATTAAAAATTTAAAAAAAGAGGCTCACCAGCCTCCCTATCGTCACTGCGTACTCTGAATATTCCAGGTCTCCTCACTGTTTGCACAGTTTGAGCCAAAACACCTCAGCCTCCTGAAAGATGAGCCATTATTGCATTTCACCAAAGCCAGATCTTTCTAAGGATATCCATAGCATGTTGGAGCTGAAGAGGATATTATACTCATCAAATCCAGTATCCTCCAGGTGGCCCATATGATGCTAACAGCTCTCTCAGAAGAGGCTTTGTAGTCAAAAAGTTTGCAGAATGCAAACTTATATTGTCTGCGGTTTGTTGTTCTTTTGACCCCACATGCTTCTCAGAGCTTCATGGTTGCTAAAATGTATACTTTTATAAATTTATAATATTAATAGAATATATATTTAATATAATATATAATAAATATTATATATAGACTTTAATATTATAATATTAAATTTTATATGCATCATATAACATATGTAATATCTAATGTTATGATATATTACATATATTAGGTATTATATATATAAACTTTAATATTATAGTTTGAATACCCCATGGAGTATTCAGTTTTTTTAACAATTTTCCTGACCCCAGAAGCACTGTTACAAAGACAGTTCTTAGAGCACTTCGTGAAATGCAGATGTAGTCCAATTGCCTCGTTTAACAGATTGAGAAACAGAGACACAAGATTGATGCTACTTTCCCAGGGGCAGTTCCAAGATCAGGACACAAATATCCTAATTCTCAGTGCCCTTTCTTCTATGCCATTGAACTTCTTCCTAATGAATACTGATCTCTGGACTTGGTCAGAAGGCCTGTGCAGATATCCATTCAGGAAATCTGAATCTTCAGGTTGGAATGTAACATCTGACATAAATGATGTATTTAATCCTCATAAAATATATACCAAATACTATGTAAAATTTTGGATTTTAGGGGGCTTCCCTGGTGGCGCAGTGGTTGAGAGTCCGCCTGCCGATGCAGGGGACACGGGTTCATGCCCTGGTCTGGGAAGATCCCACATGCCGCGGAGCTGGCCGCTGAGCCTGCGCGCCCGGAGCCTGTGCTCCGCAACGGGAGAGGCCACAACAGTGAGAGGCCCGTGTACCACAAAAAAAAAAAAAAATTTTGGATTTGGCCTATAATTGGGGTATTCAAATAAAGAAAAGAAGTCTGTCTTATCATGCAACTCTATTTGGTCACTTGTTAGCTATAGATTGGTCCAGACCACACAGAAGGAATATGAGCAACAGTCTAGAGTAAATTTTTGATTTGTTCATTTGGAAAAAAAAAAAGAGAAAAGAAGTCTTATAAATTGAACATGTTTAAATTCTCACATTGACAAAATTCTTCCACAAATTAAGAGTCTGGTTAGTACAGATTATCATGAAGAGTAGCTCACAAAAGTGTGAGCGAGGACATGGACAAAGAAAATCTATAGAAAACACCAAATTCTCAGCCAGAATATCTGTCTCCTTGTTTTCTGACTACTTATGAAAAACACAATTTCAACTTTATTTTTTTCTTGCCCTAAGAATAGGATTACCAGCTAAATACAGGATGCCCCATTAAGTCTGAATCTTAGATAAACAACAAATAGATTTTTAATATAAGTAGCTCTCAAACATTGCATAAGATATACTTACACTGTATTTTTATTTTCTAAATCTGGCAATTTTGCCTATGAAGGATACTCACACTTATTAAAAAGGCCTTCAGTAAAGCAACAGATTAAAATGTCAATAGAACGTAAAAGTTGACAGTAAGGAAAAGCCAGAAAGGCTGATTATCATTCAATAACTGAAGTTCGATTCTGAGATTTAAACTCAAGTATCAAAGATGAGAGATTAAGGGATACATTTATGCATTAAATTACATTTCCTACATTCCTGATTTGAGCCTCAGTGAAAACTACAAAAAGTCAACCTGTGTTTTATTTATTTTTTTAAATGTAATATAATTTACTTCAAAATGTTTTTTTAATAGATCTTTATTGGAGTATGATTGCTTCACAATGCTGTGTTAGTTTCTGTTGTACAACAAAGTGAATCAGTCATATGCATACATATATCCCTATATGCCCTCCCTTGTGAGCCTCCCTCCCACACTCCCTATCCCACCTCTCTAGGTCATCGCAAAGCACGGAGCTGATCTCCCTGTGCTACGCGGCTGCTTCCCACTAGCTATCTATTTTACATTTGGCAGTGTATATATGTCGATGCTACTCTCACTTCACCCCAGCTTCCCCTTCCCCCTCCTCCATGTCCTCAAGTCCACTCTCTATGTCTATGTCTTTATTCCTGCCCTGCCACTAGGTTCATCAGTACCATTTTTTAAGATTCCATATATATGTGTTAGCATACAGTATTTGTTTTCCTCTTTCTGACTTACTTCACTCTGTATGACAGACTCTAGGTCCATCCACCTCACCACAAATAACCCAATCTCGTTCCTTTTTATGGCTGAGTAATATTCCATTGTATATATGTGCCACATCTTCTCTATCTATTCATCTGTGGATGCACATTCAGGTTGCTTCCATGTCCTGGCTACTGTAAATAGTGCTGCAGTGAACATTGTGGTACATGTCTCTTCTTTTTTTTTTTTGATTTTTTTTTGACCTTTTGAATTTTATTTTATTTTTTTATACAGCAGGTTCTTACTAGTCATCCATTTTATACACAGCAGTGTATACATGTCGATCCCAATCACCCAATTCATCACATCACCACTCCCACCCCCTGCTTCTTTCCCCCCTTGGTGTCCACAGATTTGTTCTTTAAATCTGTGTCTCAATTTCTGCCGTGCAAACCAGTTCATCTGTACCATTTTTCTAGGTTCCACATATATGCATTAATATACGATATTTGTTTTTCTCTTTCTGACCTCACTCTGTGTGACAGTTTCTAGATCCATCCACGTCTCAACAAATGACCCAATTTCGTTCCTTTTTATGGCTGAGTAATGTTCCATTGTATATATGTACCACATCTTCTTTATCCATTCGTCTGTCGATGGGCATTTAGGTTGCTTCCATGTCCTGGCTATTGTAAATAGTGCTGCAATGAACAATGGGGTGCATGTGTCTTTTTGAATTATGGTTTTCTCTGGGTATATGTCCAGTAGTGGGATTGATGGATCATACAGTAATTCTATTTTTAGTCGTTTAAGGAACCTCCATAGTGGTTGTATCAATTTACATTCCCACCAACAGTGCAGGAGGGTTCCTTTTTCACCACACCCTTTCCAGCATTTATTCTTTCTAGATTTTTTGATAATAGCCATTCTGAACGGCGTGAGGTGGTAACCTCATTGTAGTTTTGATTTGCATTTCTCTAGTAATTAGTGGTGTTGAACATCTTTTCATGTGTCTCTTGGCCATCTGTATCTCTTCTTTAGTGAAATGTCTATTTAGGTCTTCTGCCCTATTTTTTTTTTTTTTTTTGCTATACACAGGCCTCTCACTGTTGTGGCCTCTCCCGTTGCGGACCACAGGCTCCGGACACGCAGGCTCAGCGGCCATGGCTCACGGGCCTAGCCGCTCTGCAGCATGTGGGATCTTCCCTGACCAGGGCACGAATCCATGTTCCCTGCATTGGCAGGCGGACTCTCAACCACTGCGCCACCAGGGAAGCCCTTCTGCCCATTTTTTAATTGAATT